GCCCTTGCCGCGACCCTGTTTATGCTGTTTTGGATTCGTCTAAACAGGTGCCGATACCGCTGCGCGTCCCTCGTCGCTTCGGCTGGGCTCGCCTCGAAATCCTGGTCCGCGGTATCTGTATCGTTTGGCATCGGTATCGGGGAGGTGCATCCTTGAGTTTTCTCAGGATCCCTCAAACACTGCTCTGGCTTGCCACAGTGCCAAATGTGGTGCACCCTTCGGGGTAGCATGCATGATGCCTGCGCACTGATAGCCTTACGACGGTCTTGTTGACGCAGAACTGATGTAGGGTAGACGGCGTGTTGCAGGCATTCGATTTAGCAGTTGCAGAGTTGGGAACTAACGGTATCGGTACCTTTGGGTGTCCCTGGTCGGCGTCGCCGTCGGCGGCCGTCGGCCGTCGGCGAGGGCGTCGGCGACGGCGTCGGCGTCGTTGGCTCCGACGCTGGCGGCTTGCCCAGGGGGAAAGGCAGAGGGCGCGGGCCTTCTCTGAAGGCTCAAAACAACCGCTGAGAAGTTTCTAAGCCCTCTCTGAAGCCCCGCCGCCTTCTGCGAATCGAGGAGCAAGAAGCTGCAGCTGCATAAACATGAACTCTCGGAGTTCCGAGCGGGTTTTGTGGGATCGACGTCGGGCGCCTTGGCGGCGCCTCCGTCGCCGATCCGAGAAATCCGATCGGACCTCCAAGAAATTACGTGTGTGTATGCCGTCTTTTGCTCCTCCAGAGCAGGCCTGCCCCCTCCCATTTTCCCCTCGTCGCGCAGGAGGCTCAGAAGGCCCCTGAGAATGTGTCTAAGCTTGCTCCGAAGCCCCGCCGCCTTCTGAGAAGGACTGCCCCCCCTCACGTCGTCTCCGCGCAGGAGTGGTGGCTCGCCCGAGTGACCTCTTGGTGCGGGCTCGCAGCGCGATCGGATTCGGCGCCCGCACTGCCCCCGAAAGCCCCGCACCAAGGCTCACCGGTGCCCTGGGTCGCGCTTGCGTGTGGCCGATCAGGTCCCCCTTTCGGCGCACAGCCGACCGACGCCACCGTCGTCGCCGGTCGCCGACGCCGCAGCCGTCGTGCCCGTGGTCGTCTGCGGCACCAGCGGCCGGTGCCCCAGCGGGCGCCGCCGAGGAGGCCGCCAGGGACGGCGCTGCGCGCCTCCGTGCGGAGGCGTTCTCGGGCCTGGCACACTAAACAGCTCCAGTCCTCCTCCTCCTCCTCCTCCTCCTCCTCCTCCTCCTCCTCCTCCTAGCCGCGCGGCCCAGGTGGACATGCACCAGCGGCCGCTCGGCAGGCGGGGGAGGCCTCGGGAACCCCGACTTCGAGGCTGGCCCCCACCCGCCCCGATATCGCACTCACCCTTCACTCCACATTTCAGCTTCACATCATTCTTGTTTCTTCTCGCGCTGCTCGTCTGGGCCCTCACGTCGGCCTGCTTCGTGGGCCAGGACCTCAGCGAGCCAGACTGGATCGTCTGCTGCACAGAGGCGGCGCTCGGCAACTCTGGTCTGCTCGTCAGCATTACAGAGAGAGCGTCGGCTGTCAGCGGAGCGAGATTACATCAGCAGACGGCGTGTCAGGCTGTCAGCGGAGCGATTACATCAGCAGACGTGATGCGAATCTTGGTGTGGAATCCACTTTCCGTTTCTGATCGAGATCGTGAGTTAGAGATTCTGTATGCCTTCAAATCTATTGACGTACTTGTGCTCATCGGGACTCAACGCAAGTGTTCCCCGAGCGCTCCGTATCATGTGGAAGATCTCCCTGGGTTCAAAGTGGTCCATTGTGGGTGGTCTGCTAAAGGAGCGCTGACTAACTGTTCTTGTGGCATTGCTTTTTACTTGAACAAAAACACTGTACGTGCACGTGATGTAGTTCGCATCTGGACTGCACCGCCTGACATTCGTGGACGCGCAGCAGCAATACGAGTAAAATCGTTCTATGGTGATCTTTCGGTGGTGGCGTTGTACTACCCTCCTCGGTCTCGAGATCCACGCGAGCAGCAGCAGTTATCGACGACGATTTCACGTGTGACGGACTTTGGGCATCATGTGCTGTCATCTCTTCCGTGTCGTACGTTTCCTGTTGTGGCTACTGATCTTAATGACGGTATCGGGCTCGTGGGTGGTAAGCACGGTCACGTGATGGTCGAGAGCAAGGCCCTGGGGCCTTACGGAAGGGGAGTCGAACACCAGGCTGGGGGACTCATGAGAGAACTGGCTGAGACGTACGAGCTGTCGGTTTTAGATACTGTTTTCAGTGGAGGGCCTAGTTATTATGGGGTACCTACGAAGTCGACGACGACGGATCGGACTCCCTCGACTTCCCCACCTTCGGCGACGGCGGCTCGTCTGTTTGCAGCGTCAGGGAAAGCTAAGCAGCAGAGTTGTTCATGGATCGATCATGTTCTGATACCGTCGTCACACGTGCCGAGTGTACGACGATTCACCCAACCTTTTCGGACGGCACGCCGACTTCAGGCCATTCCTGACAGCCGGCCTCGAGATCATGTACCATTCATTCTTGAGATTGATTTACGTCCGTGTCATGTCGATCGTGAGGAGCGGAAAAGGTGGGACTTCGTGGGGCTCGGACAGGCACTTCGTAGTGAGTTCCATGCTGATGCCTTTCGCCAGTCAGTGGAACGCGCGATCGGCGAGGTTCTTGAGGCAAAGGGATGTGTCTCAGTTGAGCAGCTTGTCCAAGATGCTGAGTCTCTAGAGGCTGCTTGGCACGAACTAGTCGACCTCCTTCAGCGTCAGGGTTTAAGCATGTTCGAAGCAAGTCCCAGGGCCCTTCCTGCTGCTTATCAGGAGCTAGCTCGTGAGCGCGTTCGGCTTCTTAGGTTGCGTGGACAGGCTCGGGCTGCGGTTGCGGACAATTTAGAAGATGTTCTAGCTCTGTCGCGTCTGACCCGTCTGTGTCGTGGGCTGCGGAGGCGTCTTCGTCAGCAGCGTGAGGCTCAGCTTGCAGAAGAACTTGCAGATGCTCACGCACGGGGCCTCATGTCTGAGGAGTGGCGGATCTGTCGACTCATGGCTGGAGCTGGGGTAGGTCCGAGACGGCGTAGGTTTGGACACATAGCTGCCTATACCCCGAGCATGCAGGAGTGGGTGGAGGATTTGGCGATGCCGTCGAGCAGTGGGGGAATGTCTGCGAAGCCGATCGACGGGGATAAGTTTTTGGAGCTTGCGTCGAAATACGACACGGCGGATTTTCCGACGACCGAGGAGGTGGAGTGGGGGAGGGCTGATCTGGACAGAATTTCCAAGGGGTTCCGCACTGCTCGTCGTCGTCGCGCCGCGGTACCGTGGAGCGTGCCGAACGAGGTATGGTCGTTACTTCTTTCTCAGCGCCCTGAGGGGCCAGATCGTGTTGCTGGACTCGGGGCCCCCCAACCTCGAGGACGGGGTGAGCTAGTTGCGCGGTGGGTAGCAGCTATACTAACTAAAGTTCGACAGCATGGCCGTTTAGTGGCCCAGTGGAATCAGTCATTCACGTACCAACTGCCCAAGGACAATGGGAAACTGCGGACCCTGGGAACCCGCCTTCTACATGGGTTATGTTCTTTTGGTAAAATGTGGGTGAAGACGGCCTCCAGACGGGCCAGGGACATCCCCTACCACGACTACGGATATTTGCCTCGGCGATCGCGTACGGGAGCTGTGAGGGCCACTGCCGCCCTAACCTGGAGGGCCCAACGGGGCCGACTGTCTACGGTGGATACCAAACATGATATGCGAAATGCGTTCGGGTCTGTTCAACACAATACACTTGATGCTGCTGTTGCTCGTATATATGATCCTGCTGATGCTGACATCCTTCGTCAGCGCCATCGTGCTGCTTGCTTCATGGTGTGTGCTGAGGGGGAATCGAAGGTCTTTCAGAACTCTGAGGGGAACTACATGGGGGACTCAAATGCGGCCACCGTTTTCCAGGAGGCGTTCGCGCCGCCGATCCGTGCCTGGCAGGAGGCGCACCACAGCGACCAGGCCAGCCAGCTGCAGGGAGTGTGTACCATCTCGGGGACACGCTGCGATTTGTCTCTGAGAATTTTTGCTGACGACGTCAATAAGACCCACGTCGTCCAGGATCTTACCAGTGCACGTCGTACCATTTACAAGTCTGACAGACTGTTGAACTCTCAGCTGTCGCCTCACGGGATCTACCAGAGTGATGGGAAAAAGCAAGTTCTGCCACACTACGTCGGGCATGGTGCCAACCGCTTCACACGAGCAGCGTTTCAGGCTGGGGGTAATCTACCAGGGCTCGTCCTGCCTGTGGTGCCGTTCCTGGGTACTTTGTTCGAGTCTTCGGGTTCCTGGAGCTCCGAGGTGTCTGCTCGCTGTGCCGCTGTTGTCAGAGGGTGGGCCCACATGAGACGCTTCTGGACGGAATGTACGGCCTGGCGTTCGAAGAAAATGGCTTTTCGTAGCAACGTGATCGGGGCGGCGGTGTCTGGACTCACGGCCGTGGTGCTCTCAGAGTCTCAAGAGGCCCGATTGGACTCCATCGTTCTTAAGTACCTGAAGGTGTTGCTGGGGGGCGTTGCTGTTAAGGTTCCGATGGTCGCGGCTGACGGGTCCGAGCATGTTGTGATCCGAACCCCTCCGGCCATCCAGATCTGGAAACGTGCGGGTCTTGTTCCGATTCCCTTGGAGCTACGGGTTCAGAGACTTAAGGAGTGGCAGAAGGTGGCGAGGTCCCCCGTCTGGCACGTCCAGCAGCTCACTGCGGTCTTTGGGAAGCTCGACTTTGAGGCCCCGACGCCGTCGCCCTTCGAGTGGTTTCCCTCGGCTCAGGTTCACCTCCAGGACACGTCGAAGACCAATCCGTGGGCCCGTCAGTTTTTTCGGGACCTCGAGTACCTCGGGCACGCGGAGGAGGGGAGGACTGTCTTGGAGTTGACGGGCGGGGACTACCTAAACGTGTTCAGAAATGACCAGGATGCGTTTCATGCGTTTCAGAAGTTCGATGTCCAGCAGCTGAGGGCCGAATGGCTCCTTCGTGAGGTTCCTGTTGCCGAGGCCCCTCCTGGCCCAGGTGAGCTCGCTGCGGGCGATCACGTCTGCACCCTGCTTACGGGAGACGGGCTTTCATGCGATCGTCGCTTTCAAACTCGTCGTGCGCTTCTTGCTCACCAGCGCCAGGCCTCGGGTGGCCAACACGGGGTCCCTTCGCTGGTCTCTAAGCTCGTGGTTACGAATCAATGTATCGCTTGTTCGTCGACCTTTCGATGCCGTGACACCGCTGTTCGACACCTCGTGAATGCGTACCAGTATGGGCGTTGCCGCGTGGACTCTTCGAAGTATGATCCTCCGATTGTGGACCCAGATATCAGGATATGTCCCCAATGTCAGGAGTCGTTTGAGTCTCTCGAGCAGTTGCAGAGGCACTTAGTCTCACACTTGCCACTTCCACTACCAGAGTTTGTGTGGTATGTTCTCGGCGGTCCCTGCTGCGAGCTCGTCCGTCGTGAGCGAGTCCAGCAGGCGTCGGCCTCCACCCGCGTCCGAGGGACGAGGAGACCGCGTGGCGAAGAAGGGCGCGCAGCGGCAGGGGAAGCAGCGCGTGCCCAAGGAAGAGCTCGAACAGCTGGAGACGCTAGAGTTGGAGCAGATCAAGCGTATCGTTCCAGTGGTCATGAAATTGTTGCTAAATGTGACGATGAGGCAGCGGCAGTCAGAAGCAGTCTTGCTGGTCACGCTGGTGATGCCAGAGAATGCGATCCCCGTTCAGAGGAGCAGGGCACGCGTCAAGGCGTGGGTGGAGTCCGCTCAAGACCTTCGCGCCCGACAGAAGGAAGAAGACATCGCCCAGACGGGCACCATCTCCCTCGCGTGCTTGGTCGGCCTGACGGAGGGGTGCACAGAGGCGGGCCAGTCGGTAGGCGCCGCCAATGCAGGCAAGCTCGCAGCGTGGCGCCAGGAGGTGTCAGCGCTGAGCCTGCCCGAGGTCTCGCAGAAGTACCCGTTCGCCAAGGTGCAGACAGCCCACAAGAGCGACACCGTCAAGATCTTGATGACAGCGGATCCTTCCTTGCACGTGTTAATCGACTGCTTGGTGCAGCTGGGGGCGGAGAAAAAGGTCGGGGTGGCGCCGATGAACCATATGGAGCGGGTGCTACAATCGTTTCTGATGGATGGCGAGATGGACGCATAAATGTTCATGGTGAGAAGTTCGATTGCAGCCGCAGGACACGAACATTTGCTTCCCGCCGAAATTTGCCCCGCCAGATTTTGCCTCCCGCGCGGCTGCCGCCATCGCCATCATTATCATCAGCATTCGACTCGAATGATGAAGCTTCTGCGACGGCATCTGCTCGTCCTCCCTTGTCACGATGTACTGCGACGTCCAGCGACGTGAGGGTGCGTGCATCGTGTGCTTCGAGGGCGTCGGGAACTCAGACTTCGGGGTCCTTGAGGGCGAGGCGTGAGGCTCGCCCGCCTGCCGCCGCTGAGGCCGCCGTTTCTTCCTCTCCTCCTCCTCCTCCTCCTCCTTCTAAACGGGCTAGGAAGCACCAGGACGCTGTTCGGGTTTTTCGGAGTGCGGGCTTCGGCGAGAGCCTGTCGGGGTCCGCGGCCCGTCTCCTGGGGTACAGTGTGTAGTGCGTGTTGTGCCTAGGGTTTTGAAACTCTGTTAGGCTTCAGGGCGGGCTGGAGGCCCGAATTCGCGGCAGTTATGTCGGTCCTAGGGCGCTTGATTCACTTCGGATAAACTATTGGCCCCCAGAGGTGTCTGTCTGTGTCCTCCTCCTCCTCCTCCTCCTCCTCCTCCTCCTCCTCCTCCTCCTCCTCCTCCTCCTCCTCCTCCTCCTCCTCCTCCTCCTCGTGAACAAGTTGCGGTTTTTCATTGTCTTCGGCCTCTGGAGGCCCTCGCTGGGCCCCTATAGAGGCCGTCGAAAACGATTCAGTCTGAACAGCTGGGTCGGGACTCCCGGCGATCCTTCAGTGAGAAACCAGGACACCGGATCTCTGAGTGTGGCCACAGCAGAATTCGCGTGCACAGCACATCTTGCACCTCCCAGACGTGCACCACACAGCTTACGCCACACAGCCTGCACCACACAGCTTGATTACACCACGTGGTCGACACACCCAGAGTCAACCAGAAACTGCTGCCCGGGGTTCACCTTCGAGGTCCCCACGGGCCTGCGCGCCTAGAGCGCGTCGATCCCACGGAGCCGAAGCACGGCGACGACGCAGCTGGCCGCACGCTTCCCGTGGCGGCCAAGCTCCGCGAGCGGCAGCAGGGGCAGAGGCGAGCAGCCGGGGCAGAGGTGCGGCGCCTCCAGCGGGGCAGGCGCGAGGCCGAGCGTGGGCGGCCCGCCTCTGCGCACAGCTGCTTGGTGAAGGCGCTCGCGCAGACTTTCGTCAATCCGCTCGTCCGATGGTCGTCGTCGTCGTCGTCGTCGTCGTCGTCGTCGTCGTCGGCGCCGCCGTCGTCGTCGTCGTCGTCGTCGTCGTCCGTCGCCTGTCCTTCGCCACTCGCGTCGCTGGCTGCCCGTCGCCGCCGCCGTCGCTTTCGCCGCCGGCGCCGGCGCCGCCTTCGCCATCGCCGCCGCCCCTGTTGTCGCGGGCGCCGCCGTCGCCGCTGTCCAGGCGCTGACGGTGGTCATCGTCACGGGCTTCGGGTGTATGTGCGGCGCGCTCCACTGGGCCGTCTTCGCGCCGCTCGCCGCAGCAGCAGCGGGCGCGCGCGCGCGCACCCCGCGGCCGCTGTCGCAGCCGCCGTCACCATCACCGACGTCGCCGCCGCCGCCGTCGCCGTCGCAGTCGCCGCCGCCATCGCCGGCGCCAGCGCGGGCGTCTTCGTCCTCGTTGTCGTCGTCGACTCCGCGCGGACCCTCGACAATTTACAGTCGGGGCGCCGAAGAAGGAACCATTTTCGTTGGGGAAGGGGCTCGGTGTTCCTTTATTTGTGCGCAGCTTGCCTAAGGTTTTCCTTAAGTTTTCAATGGGCAATCGAAGTTTATTACTTCATGGCAAAACGGACCTCGTTTCTTATTTACGCAGGGTTCCTTAGGTCAACGCCTCGACTGTAACTATGTTTGTGCCGTTTGTCTCCGATCACCGTTGTCATCGACGAGGCCCCCCGACGAATGCCCGCGCGGTGCCCGCCCCTTTCTTGCCTCCGCTGGTCCGTCTGCCTGCGGGTCGGCTGACCTGCTGTCCGCTGTCTGCCTGTTTTTGTCCGGGCGTGCGAGGAGGAGGAGGAGGAGGAGGAGGAGGAGGAGGAGGATAATGATCAGGAGCAGGAGCAGGAGGCGGGGGAGGAGGAGGAGGGGGATGGGGAGAGGGATGGGAGCAGGAAGCTGGGATGGGCACACGGGGCAAGCCAAGTGCGCTCGCGCCACACCTGACATCATACCCCTCCCTGCCATCCCTGGCCATTGCGCTATTGTTTCCTACAATCGCGCACGCGAGTTAGAAGTGGCGGGCCTGTACCCCCCCCCAAAAGACCAGAACTGGAACCGTGTCGCGCGGCGCAATCGGAAAAAAGGAAGCTGCGTATAGAGCTTTACTGGGGTTTGGCCCGACGGTGCATAGGAGCGGCGGTGGGCGTCGCGAAAGCCCTCGTAGCCCCCTCAGTCGTGGAGTTCGACAACGAATTTGCGGGCGCGCTTGGATGGACAACCGCTCCGATGAGATCATCAATGGGGCCCTCAACGAGTTGGGGGGGCGTCGGCAGTGCATCGCCGTGCGGGCCAGGAGGTGAACAGACGAGGGCTGCCCTTGCACTGGTTCGAGATGCCGCTGCCGCTGCCCCGTTTTCGGAAAGAGAGGCCCGCCCCGCGAGAAGCCCTCGCGGCGCTTCTGCGCGCGGGCATTCGCTATGGTCACAGTAAGGGCGCCGGGAACATTGCACCGTTTGGCTCGGCTTCCATTCCCTTACCAGGTCGCGACCTGGCGGGGGTGGACATCTACGACGTCTTGCCCGAAGCCGCGTCGCACAAGCTCAAGCGGCTTCGCGGCGCCATTTTTCTCAACGGCGAGGAGCGCGCATTACGCATCGAGAAGGAGAGGTTGCCCAACCTTTGTCCTGACCCAGCGCTGGAGGAACATCCTGCTACGTGGGGGTGTTTTTTTTTTGTCGAGAACTGCGCGACGGGGGATTGGCGCGTTGGACTCGAACTTACACCGAGAGGGTTGGTCTGTTCTTCGTGCGCAAGAAGTGCGGCGATTTACGATTCATATGTGATGCACGAATGAGCAACGTCCGGCTTGATATTCCAGATGCCATCCAGCTCGCTACTGGGGACCCCCTTAGCCGCCTGGAGGCCAGCCAGGACAAGGTCATCGACGCGGCCACCTTCGACATCGAGGACTACTTCCACGAGCTCAGGATCGACGAGGCGCTGTCGTAGTATTTCGCACTGCCGCCAGCCCGAGCATCGTCGTTAGAGTGAAAAACATCAACGGCATCAGGGTGGACCCGCAGGAGCTCATCTAACCGGCGCTGCATATGCTGCCGATGCGCTTCTTCTGGGCCATGTGGGCTGCGCAGCTGGTTCATGAGGAACTTATGCTGCGCGCTGGTCTGCCGCCTCGGCTCTTGCGAGATGGCGCGCCACCGCCAGGAGTAGATGGTGGGGCCGCGCGTTTGGCATGCGTTGACAACTTGGGAGGCGTCGGCCGTGACAGAGACGAAGTTCAAGAGCTACATGGACGCGCACTCGATGGCGCGCGGAAGGCGGGGTTCCAGGTCCACTAGATCGAGCAGGCCAGCACCTCCATGGACATCGTGGGCGTGCATTTGGATGGCATGAGGCAGGCGGCCACTCTCTCGTCGCAGCGTGTGTGGCGCCTTTATGCAGGACTGCGTGCCCTCGCACGGCGAGGCCGCTGTGCAGGGGGGAAGTCGCGGGCCATGCTGGGGCACCTGTGCTTCGCGTCTTCACTGCAGCGCCCATGCGCATCGCGCATCGCGGCCGCCTTCGCCGTCGCCGGGTCCGCGGGGGACGAGGCCAACAACGCGTGGCCGAATCCTGCCGCTGGTCTACGCGGACCTCGGGGCGGGCTGGCTGGACCAGGTGGTGGCGACCGACGTCAGTCAGGTTGGCCTTGGCGCTTGTGCTGCTGAATGGCCGCCCGATGCTGTCAGACTCGCAGGTCGCCAGGGCGAGCGCTGGAGGTTCAGAAAGGACCCGCATCGCAATCGCCGAGAGGTCGCCTTGGCCGGCCACGAGATGGGCGAGCCCCCGATCGACGGGGGCGGCAACCTCATCGATGACGACGGGGGGGCGGCCTGACTCGCGCGCGACGGCTTCCCAGACATCCACCTTGCCTCGGCTGCCGTTGCGAAGTGGACCGCGGCGGCTAAGCGGCCGCGCGGCGAGCATGAGGGGCCGTCCGCGCCAAGGAAGGGCGAGGAGTCATGCCGGGCTTCCGCCGTCTCCGACCATCTGCGGGCTAGTTGTGGCTCTTCACATTCTGGGGCGCACGGACGGGGGAATCGCGTGGACTCCGCGTTCGAGACGTCGTCCCGCCCGCAGTTGGCTTCGGGCCAGTGCGCCAGAAGTGGTCGCCCATCCTCAGGCCCTCCGACGACGACGGAGACCTGATCAAGACGGGCGCGTGCGACGACACCGCGACGCTCGACCACGGGCACACGCAGTCCGCGGGCCACTTCTTCGAGCAGCGCCGCAGAGGCGCGCTGCCGAAGGGCCCGCTGTGGACGTTCTTGCAGGTGGAGCTTGGCGACCTCATCGCGCAGACCGTAGAGTTGCGCCACCTCGAGAAGATAGGCATCGCGCCGCGCAGCCTGTGCCACGCGGGCCCATCTTGGGACGCGATCGCCGGCAGGAGATCGCTGCTGGAGGTTCAGAGGCGCCGGCGCTGGGCCAGCGTCAGCTCGCTCGCCAGGTGCGAGAAGTCCAGCAAGGTCAAGTCTTCCTCGACGTGGTCATCGCACCCCGACCGCCTGGCTAGGCCGAGGCGACGTCAGCCTCGATGTCGTCGCGGGCGCGCCGCGGGGATCGGCGGGGCCATCGCGAGGCGTGGCATCTCGTCGCTAGAGGTTCGACCTTGGCACGGACATTTTCTCGCCGGGCGCGTTGCCAGCGCTGCTGCGATTGATGGGCGCGGGCAGCGTGCTAGAAATCTTCATGGCTACGCCGTGCCGCTCCTTCAGCATGGCTAGACGGGCTCCGCGGTCCCCGCCCATGCCCAGCGCCGTCCGTTCTCCTGCGAGGATTCGGGGCCTCCTAGATTGATCCGAGAAGGGTCGAAAGCTGCGCCTCGAAGGCAACGGGCTCGCTAAAGTAACATGATGGTTAGTTAGGCAGGCACTTCGATATAACATCCCGTTCACGATCGAAAACCCCGCCTCCTCCATGTTCTGGGGCGTGCCTTTTTCTGAGCGGCCTCCGCAATTCGAAGAATGCGAAAACCATCGTTTTTGATCAGCGCCACGCTGGGGGCGACTCCAGGAAGCGGACCTCCATCCTCAAGTCCCCCGATTTTGTCGACGCGCTCCTAGACCACGAGTGCACTGGCAAGGCAGGTACATGTTCGCGTTCGGGTAACCCTCAAGAACACCTCGAGGGAAAAGAGTCAGCTAGCTCGAAGACGGATCGAGCGAAACACCATCCTCCGTAGTTGCATTCGGTCATGGCACAAGCTTTCAGATCGTTGTGGGCTCAAAAGCACGTGGTTGGTGCTTCGTCTTCATTTCATTCCAGGCCGAGACTTACGGCTTCTCCCTCCGCAGCCCGCCCGAAGCCAAAATACGTTTGAAGATGCGACTCTCTTCTTGATGCGGCACGGACAGTTTCAATCGATGTCAGTGGCGTATGGTGGCAAGCTACGCAATGCATCGCTCTGGGATATCATTCTCTTGGCCGCGTTAAAGCACCATGAGCGCGTGCGCAGCAATGATGTCAGAGGGGCCGTCCAGTGAGACGAGTAGGGGGAAGGTTGCAGGAGCTTGGCGTGCCTCGCCCGTTGCCTCGCTCGTAACCTTTTGTCGTTCCCGACCCAGACCTCCCTGCGACGCAGTTTCGATTGATTTCGGTGGCGTCTGGCGGCAAGCTACGCCATGCACCGCTCTGGGATATCATCAGATTGACAGCCTTAAACCATCATGGTGATGATGATGATGCGGACGATGATGACGACGATGATGCGGGTGATACTGATGACGATGCGGGTGTTTCTGATGATTATGATGGTGGTGATGATGGTGGTGGTGGTGACGGCGCTGCCGCTGGTGATGATGCTGGTATTAATTTTGATGTGGGGCCTGATGATGTTGAGGATCGTGACTTTGATAATGATGACGATGGTGATTGTGCTGATGCTGACGGTGACGTCGTTTACGAAGATGGTGCTGACGATAATAACAATGATGATGAAAAAGAAAGGAATGGGGGATGCTGACAATAATCATGGATGTGATGTTGCTGCGGGTGGTGATGCTGGTGGCGATGAGGATACTGTTGGTGATGATGGTGGTGATGGTGATTATGAGTGTGATCGTGCTGGTGATGGTGTTGGAACGAATGCGGATGCTCATACTCATGCTCATGCGTGTGCTCATGGTATTGTTGGTGATGATGTTGGTGATGCTGGTGGTGGTTGTGATAATGCTGATGGTGCTGATGAATTTTGGTGGTGTTGATGATGCTGATAAAGAAGATGATGATGGGGGTGTTGATGGTGGTGGTTGTGATGATTGCCATGAGGACGACGAGGAGGAGACGCTTGGGCGAGGAGCGGGAGGAGAGGTGGGCACGAGGAGGTGGACGGGGAATGGGCGGGAAGAACCGCAACGGGGTATGAACAGGAAGGGGTGGAGGGAAACTTTGGGGCGTGAGGGTACGAGGAGGAGGAGCAGGAACAATAATTCGAACGGCCCAAATCGTCACAGCATCTCCGACCTCATTTTTGCGCCACGTTTTCCTCCACCCTCATGTTCCTTTTCTGGAATGGAAGAGCGAGAATGAGAATAAAGAGGAGGTCGAGGAGAAATACAAGGATTGGGAGGAGAAGGTCATGGGAATGAGGAGGGCGACTAGGAGGATAATGTTCATAAGTCGGAGTGTGGACGGGTGAAGGAGCAATGGGCGGAACAGTGTAGAGGAAGCGGGTGTGTGCGGATTGTGCGTGCAGCGTATATGTGCCTTTTTTGTTTGTCATTTCTCCCCCTCTTCGTTGTCTTTTCCCTGCTCTCCCCAACATCGTCATTTTTTCCCCATGCTGCCCTCTTGTCCTGCCTTCTCCTTCAACTCCTTCATCCTTCTCCCGCCTCCTCCCCGACAGAGGTCGGGTCAAACCAAAAGGCTGGTCCGTGAACGGTCGTGCGTCAGTGCGACCTACGTGCGTGGGGTTATGCGCGGCGAGTAAGCGTATTGTATGCCATTATGCGAAGGACGAGGGGGGGTAGGATGGGCGCTCTTCACGTCTGCGAGCTGCATTCGACGAGCGTGCTGCGGTGCTTGCGGTCCAGTGAGTCCGCTTTGCACAACTTGTCACGTGCGATAGTTGCGAACCATGTTCGTTCACAGTAGTGTCCCGTCGACCGTCGTCGTCGCCATCGCCGTCGCCGGTCATCGTCATTGGGTCAACAGTCGTCTGGCCAGAGTCGTTCTAGAATTTGCCCCCAGGCCCCCCCCAGTGTCTTTCTTGGTCATCTTCTCGAGCCGCGTCTCTACGTCGTTGCTACTGCTCTCGTCGCCGCCGACGTCAAAAAATAATTCAAAAATAGCCTGGGGACTATTTTTTGATTATTTGTTGATTATTTTGGTGTATTTTTTCAGTTTTGTTTCGCCTAAAATCCCCCTGTAGGGGACACGCCCGACTTCACGCAGAGGCCCCTTTGCCGCCGCCAGCGCCGGCGCTCCTCGGGACGCGAGCGCCGGATCAAGCAGTGGCGAAGCGTCTGGGCTTCCCCGTGGGCCCAGCCTCAGTGGGCCCTGGGAACGACAGGGCAGTTTTTAGCAGTTCCGCTTTGCAGTTTTTTTGCCAGTTCAGACGCCGTTTTTTTGCCGGTTCCGTCGCGGTTCCGTCGCCTCCATATCGGGCGCCGGAGAGGCCGCCGCCGCCGCCAGCGCTCCCCGGGACGTGAGCGACGGATCAAGCAGTGGCGAAGCGTCCAGGCTTCCCCGTAGGCCCAGCCGCCCAGCAAGTCATGTTCTAGTAACCTTTTGTGGTCTGCACGAAATGTTCTCGTAACTGGATGGGGCTGGTTTGCTCTAGACACTTGGCATCGGCGTTCTGTTCTGAGAGCATTGATTTCGTTCTCAGAACATGTTTGGGTTCTGAGAAGATGTCGTGGTAGGCCTATAGGAATGCCGGGACGGTCAGTCCCCGCTCAATCACAGGAGGGAAAGGTGCCGATATCGCATCTCTTCTCTCCGAGATCCTGGCATCTCGATTTTTCGGGCCAGGCGTTTTCGCTCCCTTTCGGGTCCTTGGACCCTCATGGGTCGATGCGGCTCGAGAAATGAGGCAGAAAGCTGGGGTCTGGGAGCCTGGTCCTGATAGTTTGCGATGCTTTCTCATGTGTTTGGGCAACGCCAGATCTCAGGGCTTCCCTCGTGTTCCTCTCTTTGGGCCTCCTGGGAGGCCCTCGTCGCCACCGCTGGGATTTGCCTCGAAGTAATGATCGGAACGCACCCCCGGGAGGGGTCCGGGGAGTAGCGTTCTCGGTAGCTTTTGACTTCCCCCCAGAGCGGGGCCTACTGTGCGCTGTGCGGGCATTCTCGGTCGTGCGTAGAAGCGCCCACTTCCCCGCGCGGCTTTGGCCTCGCTGGCAACCCGCGTGAGCCATGGCGTAAGGTGGCCACGTCGTCTCGCACAGGGTGCGTTTCTGTTCGTCCTCCATCGTTTGTGCCAGCCCGATGTGCTCATCTCGGTGGCCACATGTGAGCCCCACCCCCACCACCCGCGATTTCTACCGGGGGGTGGGCGTTCCTTTCGCTCGGGGGGGTGGGGGGGTCGGGTCCACATGTGCCCACCTATCACCGTCCTCACCCTGGATTTGGGGTGCACCTGCGCCCGCACTGACAGCTTGGCACGCCCCGAAGTTCTTCACGGCCTGAGAGCGCTCCCGCTGCCTCGCGGCCCTACGTCCCGACCCCTTCTTGCCCCCTGCCTTCCCCCTCCCTCGTGCCCAGTTCGCTTCCGACGTGCCCCGCCGATAGCCGACCGCCCACCAGATCCAGCTCGCCGCTGCTCAAAACAGTGTGAGCCCGTGTCGGCCCCCACTACTCTGCGCCGCCGCCCCGCCGCCGCCCCGCCGCCGCCCCGAGCTCCCGCTCTGCCTCCGCCGCCGCCTCCGCCGCCCACGCTTGTCGGGCGGGGCCAGAACGGGGCAGAGAAGTGCTGGGCCACCACTACGTATCTTGCTAGGCCACTCCAGTCGGCGGAGATCGCTCCGGAGCGTTCAGGGTGCTCAGGCTCGCTCGTTGCGCCCGATGCGCCCTCCAGCTCACCATCCAGACCTCGGAGAGAGATCCCCGACGTGCCCCGATCCGCTTCTGACCCCGTCCCGGCCTCGCCACACTTCGCCCCTCGACGCCGACGCCTCCGCCGCCCAAGGGATGCTACGTCTTGGCTTCTGCTCCGCACGGGGCCCCCGACTCGGCCCCACCCTCCACCCCGGGGCCGCTGCTCCGGCCAGCGCCGTCCTAGGACTGCCCCCGGGGCCCGGCCAGGGCCGCCAGGGGCCGAGCACGGCCAAGGCCTGCTGCCGTCGTGGCCTCGTGAGCGACGCGGGCCTTCGCCGCCAGCGCCGTCCGCTGCCGTCGCCGTCCGCCGCAGCCCGCCCGGAGCCGCCTGCGGCGAGGCGTGGTGCTCAGCGCCAGCGAGGCGCCGCCGCTGGCACTGGTGCCCCCAGCGCGGGGAGGGGGGGCTTCCCGCCGCCACTGCCGTCATGACGGCGGCGTCGTCGGCGTCGGCGTCGGCGCCGTCGTCGGCGCAGTCGTTCGGGGGTTCGAAGATGGGGTCCTGAGGGATGGGGTCTTCAGGATGGGAAGGGGTCCAAGGGCTTATCCTTGAAGCACCGACAGTCGTGGTGGTCGTGGTTGTCGTGGTCGTCTCCGTCGCCGCCCGCCCGTCGCCGCCGATGTGGTCGTCGTCGCCGCGCCGCTGCCCTCTTCGCCGCCGCCGTCGTCGTGGTCGATCGAGGATTTGCGTATGGTGGGCCGGGGCTCTTGGGCGCCGTTGGGCCCCGTTCTAGCATCGGGGGCGGAGGCGCCGCTTTGTTGCCGCGGGTGGGCCCGGCTCATGATTCTGGCCAGAGCACGCTTCAGGACAGGTCTGGGGCCGGGCGTCGTCATCATCGTCGTCGTCGTCGATTTCGCCGCTTCCGCCGCCGTCGTCCTCCATCCTCCTCCCGCTGCCCTTCTCTTTCCTCCCTTCTCCTTCCTCCTCCTCCTCCTCCTCCTCCCCCCTCTCTCCCTGAATCCCACCCCCACATTCCTTCCCGTCCTCCTTCCCGCCCCCCTCCTTCCCGCCCCCCTCCTCCTCCTCCTCCTCCTCCTCCTCCTCCTCCTCCTCCTCCTCCTCCTCCTCCTCCTCCTCCTCCCACCCCTCCTCCCACCTCCTTCCCCCCTCCCTTCGCATCCCTCCTCTCCTCCCCCATCCCTCTGCCTCCTCATTCTCCTCCACCTTATTCTCAACCTCCTCCTCCTCCTCGTCCTCGTCCTCGTCCTCCTCCTCCCGCCCCTCCCCCCGTTGCTCCCGTGAGGCAGACGATGGGGTGGGCGGCGGGGGGAGCTGAGGGGTGCTTCGCGCCGCGCCGAAGGGTGGAAGTCGGGCCTGTCCCTCTACAGGGGGAACATTCAACAATAGTCAAAAAATAGTCTGGGGAGCATTTTTACAGTAGTTTTTGAAATTTTTGGAGTATTTTTGTTGGCCATTCTTTTTTTTTCGTCGACAGTCCCCCTGTAGGGGGAGCACGCCCGACTTCGCCAAAGGGTGGACGTCGGCAGCAGAGGGGGCCGCCGCCCCGCCGCCAGGCGCAGGCCGCGGCGGCGACGGCGGTGCGCCTGGTGGTGGTCCTGGTGGCGCTGACGGTGCAGGCGCGGCCCGGCACGGGTGCGGCGGGGGACCGGGGATCGGGGGCGGAAAAGAGGGGGGTGATGACCAGGGGGGGCTGGATATCATGGCGGGGGCCATGATATTTCCCCAGGGGGGGGAGGAGGAAGCGGAGGAGGAGGAGGAGGAGGAGGAGGAGGAGGAGGAGGAGGATAGAGAAGAGGAGGAAGTGGAGGTCGAGGAGGAGGTCGAGGGGAGGAAGAGGAGGAGGAGGTCGAGGAGGAGGTGGAGGGGAAGGAGGAGGAGGAGGAGGAGGAGGAGGAGGAAGAGTCGCCGAGAAGCGGGGCCGCTCCATTTGAGGAACGGTGGAGGTGTCTGCCGGCTCCCGATCATTGTGTTCGGTCGGCGGTGTAGTCTAGTAGAGCCGAATGTGCCAGAGTTGGACGAGTAGGAAAAAGAAGGAGGCGGACGAGGACGAGGAGCAAGAGCAGCACCTGGAGGGGGTCCCTCCCCCCGCAGCAGGCCGCGAAGGCGAGT